GTACATTATATTTTATAGAAATGACGAAAATAAATAATTTCGCAAATCGTTGAAAAATAGTAAGCAGTCTGGACGAAAATCAACGAGAACATACGCACGAGCCAGTCTTTTGACGGACAAAAAATAAATACGACTATTGCTAAACGTTAGTTTTAATGAAAGAGCAAACATGTCTCAAACAGACAGGAAAATGGAAGAAATCCTACTGTTATTTTCTCGAAATAGTTTGAACTTCAGCGAAGGCACGTTGCTAATTCGGACAAACGTGGACTGACAAATTAGGTGATTAATTAGTTTGACCAATGATAAAAGCGATTTTTTGTGTTCATGTTTAATACTTTCATCGATTGATACTGAACAAATACCATGGAAATTAAAGAAATTATGACCACATTTGCTCTAAATCGAATTGAAATTTGTGCATAAATGCATGTTGATTTTACCAAACCGAAGCGCAAACCGAAAACAGAAAGTAATAATATCCAAATCAAAGGTTGCGTTTATTTTTTATTCGTGTTGAAAAGCTAGTGTTTGATTATTTTTTTACTCGTGATGGATGTGTTCTTGCTGGTTTATACAACAGGCAATTAAATTTAACTCGCAGTCGAAAAAATGAATCTCTTGTTGCTCTTCCGACCAGGCATTTGGTTTTAAAGTAATATGGAAGTTAATATATTTATTCCTCGTTCTGAGTAGAAGAAAGATCTTTTGTGCAGTCATTCGGTGTAACACAGTGACACACAACAAAAAACGTAGTTTTGAGCTTTAAATTTAGTTTATTATTCCATTGAAACTGAGAAAAATTGAACGCGTTTAACGACTGAATCTCTTTCACAAAGTTATTGTAAGAATTCGACGTGATCGTAATGAACTTGGAGCTTAATTGTTATGTGCCCAGAATCAAATTCAAAGCATTTGCTCCAATAGTTGATACTACTTTATTCTCAAATTGCTTCGCGAATTTATTGAAAAAAAAAAATTGGAGTCCAACTGTGAAAAGCTTGCTTCAATAATGGATATGATTATTTCTCAAACCACTTCGCCAATTTGGTCACAAAACCCTGGAGCCTAATTGTAAGATGTCTTAGCTTTTGTGGCTAAATTCAAATTTAAAGCGTTTGCTCCAATAGTTTTTTTTTCACTCAAATTTAGTCCAAATCTTTGATCATTTTTTGTTTTCGGTGCTTTTACAAACTGTGCCCTGTGTTACATTCGAAATGTGCCTGCTTTAAAGATATTTGTTCCGAAAAAACATCATGGCAAAGTATAATCTTACAAAAAAAAAAAAAGGATTGGACATGTAGTAGGAAATTTTATGATTTGTAGTGGAACCCTGGGTTGCTTGCCATGGTGCTTTTTCGAAAGAACTTTCAGACAGTATCTCGTGCAAAGAATCGAAGTCCAAAAGAAAAAGGTTAGAAAGTCAAGATTTCTTAGAAACGAAACATTTAGAAAACCGTTTGATTTTTTTAAAACCACGATTCTTGGCACGAGATGTTGTTGAATTGTATTTTGGCGGGAATTTAAGAGGAAGTCTCGTTAAAATTTTTGCTGAAAAAGTTGCCAGGGGAAACTCTGTGCAAATTGGTCTAAATTTTCCCGCCAAAAGTCTTAGTATATATACGAATTTTATTTCTCGACGCCTTTTTAATAATTTAATTGAAAATTACTTAACCAATTAACTTGTAATGATAGAGAATTGTAAAACAATAAAATGCTTCGTCGAATGTGAAACTTTTGTGGTTTATTGAGTGAACATTGAAAAACAATAAAAGATGAGACAGAACAACAGATGAGTCAACTTTATTGACGTGTTTACTAATAGTAAATGACAATACAAGAAGACAACCAGCAAGAAAAAGATACAAGTTTATTGGCAATGAAATAAAATTATAACTTGGAAAAAAAAATCCGGCGCATGCGCATTTTTGAGCACCGTATTTTATTCACCACATTTGAATAGATGGCGCATGCGTTATAAAAGCGCCCGTATTTTTTTCTAAGTTTTTTGGCGGGAAAATTTGTAATATTTAAACAGCCCTTAACACGACTTTTGAGCCGACAAATTGCGACACAACACTTCCTTATGTATGGCTACAAGTCGTCGATTTAAGCAAATAACTCTTGGTTCTCACTCGACTTTCTTGAGAGAAATGCACTTCATCTGTTTTGTACCTCTGAATAAATCTTGACTTTTCTTAACCACAGTCTTTCTTGTTTGATTTGTGCTTGAAACAACAGTAATATTCACCCGTCAATCTGCAAGAAAATGAAAAGAAACAATAAATCATAAAATTCAATAGATCTTAATTCAAGCGACAGTCAAACGCTAAAAAATATTTCGCAATGTTGAATATGTAAAAATACAGAATTTAAGTCCTGTAGTGTCAAGTTATTCAATGAAGAAACATGAACGTAACCTGGATTTACCGATAAATTCAATTTGGTACCCGTTAAATCTTCTCATAATTGTTGACTTGCCTTCCTCCTAACTAAGTTCAAGTATTGAAGCATTGAATTGTTTAAATTTGAGTCATTAAGTTTTGATTTTGCATTCAAGCAAAAACAAGCAATAAATGTAAAAGTTCGCTGGCAATTCCTCTGAGAAAATCTTACAGAAATGTTAATAAGGCAATTGTATGATTAGAGTTTCATTTATAACTTATTATCATATTTGCTTAACTTGCTTTGTTTTTGTAAAATTTCCATGTTACAAAAGTCTTTTCTTCTTCACATTTTGGTCTAAAAAAACGCCAAAGATGGATACGGTAAGTTTTCTGGTTTGAGACAAATCTTCTGCCCACTACCTTTTGGCATCATTATACAACCCTCTAGTTCTTTTGAATGCTAGAAAAATTGTGCCATATTAGTAGCCACGTGCAGTCTGAAACTACCTACTTTTTTTTGTTTGTGATTGAAGTAAGTCAAGGTCTTTAACAATTGGTGGAAAAGCTGAATAGCTATTTGCGAAAATATACCTTATGCCTGTAGTTTGCCCTTTTGATCAGATTTTTCCGATTTAACGGAAGTTCCACGGAAGTAGAAGTTACCGATAAGTTGAAGTTACTAACAAGTTGAAGTAACTGATAAGTTGAAGTTAAATCAACTGATTGAGTCTAAAGATGGCGATAAGTTTCAGAACGACTACTAAATATATTTTTTTCGACTGAGGTAACTTTCCACCAACAGAAACAACGTGGTGTTATTAATTCATAAGCCAAATAGTGCTATAAACGACTGACAATCACCTTAATAAAAGAGAAATTCACCGGAAATAGAACCGAAAAAAAAAACAATCATTTCTTTGCTTGTAGGTTTCCTACATTTTCGACTCGTACTAGTTTTAAATTGCAGACATTCGATAAATCCAGGTTGATACGTTCAGTAGAGACCAGCAGACCAGACTTACAAGCGCAGACAGCTAATTCGTAAAAAAAGGAAAAATTAACTCACGTTCTTGGAAGTTTTCCTTTGTTCCTTTCTTGCCTAGAATTTCTTGATTGAGTGATAACCTCATTCTATGCTTGATGCTGCCCTGATGAGAGAAATAGTAGGAAATTTTTTTTGTGAAAATGTGCATACTTAAATTATGGTAACTGACTTGGAGCCACCACAGACTGGATTTACAATTTCGATGTTCCTAATTGAAAAAAAGCAACAGGTAATTTTGTTTCCACGACAAAAGCTCTTACACAAAAATCGAGGATCGCTAAACTCACTCTGACTGGGGTCTCAGCAAGCTGCAATCCCAGACACATTAGCTGGGACATTTACAGCTTCCTCCGCCTCTCTCAATTGGCAATTATCAACATTGAATTGGGGAGAAGGGTGAAAAAAAAAAACTCATAGACGTTATTCGGGAGAAGTATCCCAATTTATTACGTCGGGAGTGGAGATCATTGCCATGGTTATCTGATAAGACAGAGTGTGTTTCTATGAAATGTACCTATGAAGCTATCAGTGTTCGAGAACCAACACACATACGTAACTATTTAAGAAAAATTTAAAAAATACAAATAAAAATAAATATGTAAATAAGCAATCAGTACAATATCACTAAAGCCCGAGTTTCTCGCTGCTGCTGCTGCCCTTAAAGTCACGTGATCCAGCAAGAACTGTCATGGCGGCTGCAATTAACGATTTGTCTTAAACTGAACTGTGTGCCATCCTCTTCCGTCCCACATCAAACTCTCAAATTAACTTTACATGAGCAACACCGAGAAACTCGAGCAAGGTATTTTTATCCAAAATTTATCTGCACGTAGGCTATTTACCTTAATAAAAGTCGTGACATATTGACATCCATTCATCCATCCTTGTCGTCGAGTTCAAGCCACTCCCTTCCGCAACTTCGAGGAAACACTCGCCAGCCTCTACAGAACGGAGGATTCCAAGGCATTTGGGTCGAAATAATGCGTTCCCTGGCCCCACAGAAGCTGAAAAAGACGCTGACATTTCTTAAAGTTCGCTAGGTCTTCCCACGTGCAAGACTGATCGAAAATATGAATATTAATGTTTCAAAATATTTGTAATTCAAATCAGTTTTCCGACCGAAAACCTTCGAAGAGCCCTTCGGTCATTTGCGTTAATTTTAGGAAGAGGTGCAAACATCGTTTTAATTCGAGATTAACAACAAATTACCTTGAAAAGCTTTCCAATCATTTTAAAACAAGCTTACTTGAACTGCCTTTTATCTCAGAATGTTTCCCGTTTCCCTTGACATTTTGAATTAGCGGGACTCTAAAGTACTTGAAGTTACAAATATGCCGACACAACACGCCACAGAAAAAGGAACAGTTGTGTTTCGCAACCTTCCCCTCCGATAAGGGTACATACATTTTATAGTAAAAATCTAGGAGACCGAAATAGTAAACTTCGTTTCGAACCTCCAATTCTCAAGTCACCCATATGTATTTGCACACGAAACCACTTTCAGGTCAAATCAACGATACTGAAAAACTACCAGTTGGAAAGAACGGTAAGCGAAAAGGGCTGCACGCTTTGATTCAATTCATATAATTTATTTCAAAGAGACAGCATGTTCTGGTTGCACATTTCCACGAAACACTGCTCAGTAATAAGACAGCAATAGTTCGCGATAGGAAGTCCTCAAAAATGTTCCAGTTTTTTTGTTCCATTATTAGTAAAACGCTCTCATATTAAGGATGTATAGTCGGAGTTGATCGCCCAAAGGCAAGTCTCCGACAAGACTCTTTCTGTATCAATACTTCTGTTCCCACACGAATAAATTGATATGTGTTGCAAAAAAATTGTATTTTGCCAGGCATAAAGACAAATCTGCACACACAGGCAGACTTCCAAGACGACGCATTTCCTCAAAACTGTATCAGTTTGTTGTTCATATTGTGGAAGACGACAGTTCCATTATTTTGTACTCCATGGCTCTTTCTTTCTCTCAATCAATCTGAGCGCTGTGCTCCACGAGGAGCTAACAACAATCTACCCGGGCTTCATGGGAATCTGCTCTCTAAGTAAAGAAGAGGTCCAGCGATGACTGCCTATCCTCTCTTACCCTTGCCGTGTCCCTGAAAATGCGAAAAGACCTTGTTGAAATGCCTTGCTCTGA